AGAGCTAGTTTTCTGTAGGTCTCGGTTCCGAAGGCAACTTAGGCACTGGGAGCCGGTGCCCGGAGGGTCGGTCCGTCCTTCAGGGCCCTGCTGTTTTGCTGTGGCGAGGGCGCCGTTTGTGAGCCTTGACGGCTGGAAGAGAGCTAGTTTTCTTGTAGGTTCAGAAAGCAACGTTAGGCACTGGGAGCCGTTGCCTGGAGGCTTGGTCCGTCCTTCAGGGCCCTGCTGTTTTGCTGTGGCGAAGGCGCCGTTTGTGAGCCTTGACGGCTGGAAGGGAGCCGTTGCCCGGAGGCTCGGTCCGTCCTTCAGGGCCCTGCTGTTTTGCTGTGGCGAGGGCGCCGTTTGTGAGCCTTGACGGCTGGAAGAGAGCTAGTTTTCTTGTAGGTTCAGAAAGCAACGTTAGGCAGTGGGAGCCGTTGCCCGGAGGCTCGGTCCGTCCTTCAGGGCCCTGCTGTTTTGCTGTGGCGAAGGCGCCGTTTGTGAGCCTTGACGGCTGGAAGAGAGCTAGTTTTCTTGTAGGTTCAGAAAGCAACGTTAGGCAGTTCCCGGAGAAGGGCCGTTAGGCACTGGGGGCCGTTGCCCGGAGGCTCGGTCCGTCCTTCAGGGCCCTGCTGTTTTGCTGTGGCGAGGGCGCCGTTTGTGAGCGTTGACAGCTGGAAGAGAACTAGTTTTCTTGCAGGTTAGGCAGTGGGAGCCGTTGCCCGGAGGGTTCCATCAACTATGCACGTGCCAGTGGTTGGTGGGACACTGCTTTCCGTTGGGAGTGCGATGAGTTACTTGAATTCGGCCGGAAGCTTTTGTTGAACGCACCACCGCGCTGCATGTCGGACACATGTGCGTATGCGTGCGACCTGCAAGCAAGCCATTTGCAACGCGAAATTCGTGGCCGCAACCATCACCTCGGCGGTGATCGATTTGTCCTGTTGCCACTTTGCTTTGCACAGATTTGGCGCAGTGTGGGCAGATGTATGTGTACAGTGTGGCGTAACCGTGTCAGGCCCGACAGCAAGCTGCTGGTTCGATGAGTGGGCAGTGTCCGTTTTGGGAGCTTCTGCTCGCGTGGAAGTTTGTCTTGCTGTGTGTATTTCCTGAATTTCCTTGCGAACGTCCTCTAGGATTGCTGCGTGACGGTGGCGTCTTTCGCGTTGGCGCAAGCGGGCCAGGTAGACTTTGGGATTTGAAACAAGCCAAGCAATCATTGCTTTCTCTCCAGCCCCCCGCTCACCGCCCCAGGCAACAATTCCTGGGGTCGGCGGCAGGGGGCGTAGCCCCTTAATAATCATCCCATTCCCCCATTCCCATAATAAATTCCCTACTAAGCACTAAGCACCAGTAAGTTGGGTTTAGCACATTACCACAATATATCACACTGTGACCAAGATCGCCGACCGGCTGTCCCATTGGCCCTTCAAGTTTGGCCCCAAAAAAATTGATGCTTTACCTCACTTTTCGTTCTCAAGACCCGATTTTCGATGAGGCTTCTATACTGGCTGGTGGTTTCAACCCCTCTGAAAAATATGAAACTCAGTTGGGATGATGAAATTCCCAATATATGGAAAAAAACAAAAAATCATGTTCCAAACCACCAACCAGATATATATTCTGGCACTTTCACATGACACATGGACAATTTCAACTTTAATAGGCCAGCAGGTGAGAAAATCATCCATTCACCCAGAGAATTATGTCCCATGATATCCTCAGTATTTCACCGTTCTTTTTCTGAAAAAAATGAACTGCAGAAAAGTAAAAACAAACTGAACATCTCCGCTCAATGTTGATCCAGAAATAGTTGGATCCTGCATCCCTTGATTCCCATAATGATTAATCCTACCGTTAAGGCCATTTATAAGTTATAACTGATTACATATTTCTATGGGATTATACATTCTATAAATGGGGTTTTGTTGGTACTTATAACTGGTAAAGGGCCATAACTGTAATCTTTCCATTACCCAACTAAGACCCATTAAACTCCAATTAAAATCCCATGAGCATCCCTTCAAATCCCAACAAAATACCATAACTTGGAGAATTCACCAACCATCATGAGAGGATATTGAACACCTAAGAGGAAGATACCTTCATAGCATTGGGTGATTTTAGGACTCCATCCCTTGAAATGGACCAAACAAAATCCCAAAACAATGATGAATCCTCATCTTTCCATTAATCAACTAAAATCCATTAACATTAACAACTAAAATGATTATAATCTATTAACCCATTAACATTAACATGAGATTTTAATGATGAATCAACTAAATTCCATTAAGATCCCATAAAAAAACATCCATTACTGGTTGGTGGTGCTATTTCACCATCTTGAAAAATGATGGAGTGAAAGTCAATGGGAAGGATGACATCCCGTATATGAAATGGAAGTCATAAAAATCATGTTTGAAACCACCAGCCAGTAATAATGGAATTAATTCTAATATTAATTATGGTTTCCAGAGATTATAACCAGGATAACCATAATGAATACTGGATTATATTACCATTTTTACCTAACCCATATGCTCCATGTATGGAATATTTATCAACATTTGCCCCAAAAATCACCCAAATGTAGGTAAATATACCAGCACCATGGAGCATATGGGTAATATATTCATATTACCAGGATAAGCAAAAACATAGGCTTTATGTTGGGATACTGGATTATAATCATATCCAGTGAGGATTATATCCTGACATAATATAGTGAGTTTTACCACTAAAAATGGTGATTTTCCATAGCTATGTTAGTTTACCAGAGGGTAACTGGAATATTTCATAATAGAATTAATTATGGTTTCCAGAGATTATTACCAGTTTTACCTACAATGTGGGGCCCCCAAGATAGCTAAGTTGGTTTATAACTCCAATAACTATGGTTTATGGTACGCAAATAACTATAGTTAATGGGGTTTATAAACCAACTTATAACTGGGGGGCCCCACTTTGTAATAATCGGAATAGGATTTGAATGTGAGACTTTAGTGGGATTTTAATAGGATTACTGGGATGTTACCAAAAAAAATGGTAATATTAATATTCAAATCTCCGAATCCATCGGTGCCTTGGGAGTTGGTGATTTCGATCTTCGAGCCGCTGGCGATGGCGATACTTCGATCCTGACCTCCCGAGGAAAAGAGTTGCGGAAGGAGTCACGGTAGGAAAAACCACGGAGTTTACCTGGGAAAACCCATGGTAAAAACTCGGAAAACCCATAGTTTACCTGGGAAAACCCATGGTAAAAACTAGGAAAACCCATGGTTTACCTGGGAAAACCCATGGTAAAAACTAGGAAAACCATAACCCATGGTAAAAACTAGGAAAAACCACGGAGTTTACCTGGGAAAACCCATGGTAAAAACTCGGAAAACCCATGGTTTACCTGGGAAAACCCATGGTAAAAACTCGGAAAACCCATGGTTTACCTGGGAAAACCCATGGTAAAAACTCGGAAAACCCATGGTAAAAACTAGGAAAACCCATGGTAAAAACTAGGAAAACCCATGGTAAAAACTAGGAAAACCCATGGTAAAAACTCGGAAAACCCATGGTTTACCTAGGAAAACCCATGGTAAAAACTAGGAAAACCCATGGTTTACCTGGGAAAACCCATGGTAAAAACTCGGAAAACCCATGGTTTACCTGGGAAAACCCATGGTAAAAAACTCGGAAAACCCATGGTTTACCTGGGAAAACCCATGGTAAAAACTCGGAAAACCCATGGTTTACCTGGGAAAACCTATGGTAAAAACTCGGAAAACCCATGGTTTACCTGGGAAAACACATGGTAAAAAACTAGGAAAACCCATGGTTTACCTGGGAAAACCCATGGTAAAAACTAGGAAAACCCATGGTAAAAACTAGGAAAACCCATGGTAAAAACTAGGAAAACCCATGGTTTACCTAGGAAAACCAATGGTTTACCTGGGAAAACCCATGGTAAAAACTCGGAAAACCCATGGTTTACCTAGGAAAACCCATGGTTTACCTGGGAAAATGATCTTCACATGGTGGTTTTAACCCTAGGGTACTGAGAATCACTGGCTTAAAATGGGTGAAAGCGATCTTCACCAGCCAAAATTTCATGGTGTGAAATTGGGAGTTCCAGTGGAACAACACATTATAACATTCAGAAACACTTTTTAGGGGTCAGTATTCACAAATTTGCCCAGTATCACCAGAAAAAAAGTGTTCTAATGTGCTATTCAAAACCAAGTGTGACGTTGTGGTGTTCAGTGGTGTAGCACTTTTATGGTGTTTCTAGGGGGTCAGAATACCAACAAATCAAACGAAAAAAACATGACACGTTCACCAATTATCACCAGTTGGTTTATCTTTTTGTTTGCTGCTAAATATCCCCTCTCCAATATTTGCAAACGTCCCCCCATATGAGGAGCTATCAAACATTGTGAAACTTGCTCAGCCATAAAGACCTGCCTTTCAAAGAACAAACACATCCAACAAGAACTTGTTTTTCTGATATATGTGTCTGTTTAATGGCACTTAATGGGGTTTGACGATGTTTAATCAAGGGATAGTACTAATCAACAATATGAAGATGGGGTAAAGGTGATATACCCACTGGTACTTGTTACAGCCTTCGACCTGGAACATCACCATTTTTCATAGGTAAAACATCAAGTTATGTTAAATTACAAGAGTTGGATAATTGTCCATTTAGCGGGATACGTTCATAATGTAAAACCATTAACCCCTATGTGATCCAGATATATCCCATTACACATCCCATACATATATCATTGTCATCTCTTTGCCATGGCTCATTACATAACTCCGATTTTTTTAAGGAACCATTAAAAACTTACTGGTGCTTAGTAGGGAATGAGGGAATGATCCATAACCACTAGTAATGATAATCCCATTCCCCCATTCCCATCCATTCCCTGCTAAGCACCAGTAAGAAAAATATTCCAATTAAAGTATATATATATATTGGATTTCCCATTGGGAAAATACACTTTTTCTAATCATCGACTCGGCACATCTAAGTTAACCAACATAGTTTACATCCCATTACAATATAATACTAAGAAAAGAATAGTATGAACATATCAACAATTAAAATATAATAGTATTATAATATGATTCATTGATTATTGACAAAAATATATAGTAGTAATGAAAATCATCAACGATTCACCCACATATCCCATATATGATCAGTTAATTACCCTGGGGATCCCTGAGGGGAAACACCATTTCTGGTTGGTGGTATACCTGCCCTACCCCTCTGAAAAATGATGGACTTCGTCAGTTGGGATGACATGACATTCCTATACATTCCCAACTGAATGGAAAAACAAAATCATGTTCCAAACCACCAACCAGGTGATGTTTTTTCTTGGAAATGTGGGATGATTCCCTATAGATCAAAATTCAAACAACATAACATAAATTCCTATAGTCCTATAGAGATTTTGCATATGGTTCCAGTCACCACCAACCAGATTTTATAGGTAAATTCATCCATAAATGGCCCATTTTCCACATCTAACGTTCGTTTCCGCCAGTCTAAATCGTCTAAATCCCAACAATTGGAGGATGTTTCCCCTCCCAAAGTCCATTTATCTCAGATTCTTCCATGATTTTCCTATGGAAAATCCTCCATTGATAGTTCTGTTTCATGGTTTTTCCATAGTTTTCCCAATTTTTTCCATAGTTTTCCATAGTTTTCCCCTGCTTTTCCTATGGAAATCCGCCCTTTTTCGGTTCGTTACGACCCCACCGGGCCGCCCCGTGGGCCGCCGCGGTGGCCTTGGCAGATCAGGGCCGCCGCAGCCATCTCGGTGGAGCGGCCGAAGCTGCTGAGCACCGTGGCTTGGAACGTCACGTCCACGTCGTATCTGGAGCTGTGGAGGTTTGGATCAAGATCTATATAGCTATATAATTAGCTATGTATTATCTATATGATATGGATACATATGTGTATATATATATATATTAACATAAATATCTAAATTGTATATATATATATATCTATATAATATTATTGTATTATATTGTGTACAATGTATATATATATATAATTTAGAGTATATATACGTACAAACATGTATCCGGGTATCATGTATGCACTTGTATCGGTTATCTGTCTTGTTTTCACCAGGAAACATTTTTTTCTGCACATATATTTCGATGGGGCGGGATATCTTGTAAGTGAGATTACTGTAAAAATTGGATAAGATGGTTATGTATAAATCAACTCACAGCGTGCTACAAAAAGCTTCCCATGGCCACCAATCAACTGGCAACGGCCCTTTGATTGTTTTCTGTGCCAACTGGCCCAGTCAACAAGCGAAGAAAACGTAGTCCAGCTGGCTGGGAGAAACAAATTATACAAACAAAACAAAGTACCCTCTGGTTATTTAACATAGCCATGGAAAATGGCCCATTTATAGATGATTTTCCCATTAAAACCTCCATTTATGAGGGATTTTCCATAGCTATGTTAAATAACAAGAGGGTAATTTTTTGAAAATGATCATGTGGTAGATGGAAGAGTAAACCACCCGCAAGCCAGACATGGCATCTTAGGGCCCACTTGGACCGTGATCCCCGTCATGCACTGAATGGATGCTCGAATCGGTGAGCTCGAATCCACCGAACTCTTTGATGCACACAGTCCACATTTTACCTTTGTTATGCACTTTCAGCTGATTCCCTGGTCCAATGGTCCAATTTCATCGAGATAGATCGTGATGTGCATGAACGCAGCTGGATGGCAAAATGGATGCTGGACCTTTGAACCATCCTTGTTCTCAACTTCCAAGGTCTGAAGAAGCGAGCCAATATGGGGTCTCGACTTGAGCAGCCAATATACGGCAACGCTTCACAGTAGACCAGCGCTGCTTGTCTGAGCTCGCCGCTCTCTCGAACTGCCGTGAGAACTTCAGCCAATGCACTCTGACTGATGAATGATCGTCTGCCCAAACTTGGCAAAATCCAGGGCCATGATTGCAAAGAAACATTGGCAACATGTTCGAATGAATGTACAAGTAACACATGCATGCAATGATATTTGCAACAGACAGATATTCCAAAACTGCGGGTTTATGGCAATGGCTTTACTATACATTCTAAGTGTTCATTGGGTTCATTCTTAGATTACCACACTGGCTCATGATTTTTACCATGGTTTACCCAATTCTTGGGTGCATTCTTGGGTTTATGTGGAAAATCACCATGTTGAATGGGTAAATCAACGAACTAAATGGCAATTTTCCAGTTCGCTATGTTGTTTACCAGAGGGTAACCAGCAACAAATTGGGTTCAACACAGGGCCCATTTCCGTCATTTCCCCTCAAGGCGGCTCCGAGGGACAGCGTAACGTTTTTGTTGTTCCAAAGCCTCGGTGATAGACCGACCAAGGGAAAACCGAACTCCAGAGTTTCTAACAATCGACATGTTATGAAAACGATCTATTATACCGTATCCATCCGTTAAAAACATGATGGTAACAAAAAAACAATGGATGGCTTCCAGGGGCGGTGCTAGAGGAAAAAAAAAATCATAATAAATCCATTAATTGTCGAAGATTTTCCGATGTTTCCCCTTTCCCAAAACCCATTTTGGAGGGCTTGATATCAGACAATCAGCAGTGGATCTATTCAAAGACTGGTATCCTGAAGGTCATTGAAGTTTTACAGGACAATCTCCATTTTAGTTCAGCAAATCCCGGTTATTCTTGGTGTTTTTTCTGCAACTGTCTATGAACAATCACATTCTGGACTTGGTTTACGGAAAATCCAATGTATAGAGGATCCCATTGCCATGACTACCAGAGGGGAGTTTGGAATTGAAGGACAATTGAAGGACACCAGAATTTGGATGGCAAAAACCGAAGCAAATTGCCTGCCTTAAATCAACCCACTGAAAAATCATGAGAAAATTCAACTCATTTGGACATTGTTCAGAGCTGGGGTATCGTTTTGGACCAAAATTGGCAACGTTTTTCCGTCAAAAAACCGTCCACTGTTTGGCAGAGAATGATATCTGAGCCATAGCCTTTTCGATTCATAATATATATATATGTTTGCATGTATCTTCTATCACTTTCCAATATGGCTATGAGTCAAAAGCCATGGTACTCTGAACACCAAAATTCTTGGCATTTCCGGATGTTGATGCACCCAAATCTGGGTATGATAGGTCCTGGTACATCTTGAAGGTCTGAACATTGGGTACCCGCGCTCCCAATGGATCAAGTGGCTATTTCTGGGTATGCCCCTAAGCCTATTTTCAGACACACCCAAAAACAATATCATTGGCTATGTATATATATATATGATATTATATGTATACATGTATAATATATACATCTATATCCCATTATATCCCCATGAATTTGTGACATTAAACCCAAAACACATTGAGCCATACCCACTGCGCTTGCGCTTGCCAAGCAACAGGACAGTGCTTGGACCAACACCGAGGCCTTTCACTCCTCAGAGACCCAGCAATGAGAACATCGGTAACATGGCTACGGGGTAACACAAATGGGCCACGGATGTATATATATATAGATTTATTTATTTATTTATTTAAAAATGTTTAAGAAAACATGGTCACATATAATATCATATAAATTATAGAATGTGATGTACCCTGATAATTTCCAATATAAGAAAGTGTTCTGGTACTGGCGCTTGGCCGCCTAGTCCAGAGCAGAAGACGGACCATTTACCATAGCAAACTGTTAGATTACGAGATGGTACATTGGCGCTGTTTAAACGTTTAAACTGAAACTTTACCCTCTGGTTATTTAACATAGCTATAGACAATCACCATTTTTAATAGGTAAACCATCTATAAATGGGCCATTTTCCATGGCTATGTTTAATAGCCAGAGGGTAAAGCATTCTTGGCGATGTCAAGGTTTGATGACGAGAAGACCTGGCAACTTTCGAATGCGAAATCCCCAGTGGAATTCACCTCAGAATCACAGTGCCTGTTGGTAAAATACCGAAACATCTCTCATAGAATCCACCCATGAAAACAAACGGTCGGACCCAACAAAAAAGAAAAGTGTTGCCACCATTTTCACTTTCAATGACGTGAGTTGGGGCCTATGTGAGTCGTCTGGCTTGTCCCATTGATGTCGAGATCGATGGTTTTCTTGCTTCACATCCAATGTTTGATGATTTTGGTGGTATCCCCAAAATGAGATGACGGAAAAAACAACTGAAAATCCGACCAACATCTCTGGTGCCCATTGATCCCCTCGGTTTGAACTTTTGACCCATGTCCATCTTGACGTTTCCTATAGGGCTACCCCATTCTCATCCATTTTTGTTTGGGATTTTCATGAAATAAACCACAACTGAGCTATTGGGGTACCCCCATGACTATGGAAATCCTCCAAATCAACCCAATATTCATAGTAAAGTCCCTGTTGATGGTGATATACACATGACTATGGAAAGTCCCATCTTCACGTTTCCGCTGGCGCAACCTCACCGAAAAAGCCCACCACCAAGCGCAGCAAGTGTCGGTAGTTGGCAGTCACCGTGAGATGCACCTGTGATCGGAAGGGATAGCGGATGGCCATCCTCAAACGTGGCTGGCTGGCAAATCCCCTATATAAATAGTCTATAAATGGAGGTGTTAGATGATTTTAGTAGGGCTCCCCCAGTGATGTTTAACGTTGGTTTATATAAACCCCGTGAATAGTTCTGTGAAAGTTATTTGCGTATCAGAAACCAAAGTTATTGGAGTTATAAATTCAATATAAATCAACTTGGCTATCGTTTGGCACCCCAAAAATTGTGGTAATCAAACATGGCTCGGAAATCCCGGAACTGAAGAGTCCCTGAAAATTAACAGTTTGACCCTGAACATCACCAATTTTGAATGGTTTCACTCATCTTTCAACCCCTATCTGCCAGGGTCGAACTGTCAATTTACTGGAGATGTTCGATGATTTTAGTGTTTTTTTTGGTGGTTGTTCCATTGCTATGTTTGATTGACGAAAATGGTTGATTCGGGCTGGGGATCCATATTGACTACCCAGCCTGGTAATGACTAACAGTTAGCTATTGAAAATGGCCCATTTATAGTTGATGTATCAAAGATGGTGATTTTCCAGTTCGCTATTATGTAAACGTTTACCAGAGGGTAAACCTCCATTTTCCATCATTTTCCTATGGTTTTCCTATGGTTTTCCTATGGTTTTCCTAATTAGAAGAAACATCGGACATATTCAATATCATCATCATGTTGTTGGCCAGGGGATTTCCCACGAATCATCCCAGGATTTGCCCAGATTGGTCCTTCCGATGTTTGGCCGATGTTTCCATGGTTTGCTGTAACTCACTGTAACCCATATGCGAACCATGGTGCTGGAATATGTATCAATTATGTATCAACATTTGCCTCAAAAATCACCCAGTTTTGTAGGTTTTTATATACCAGCACCATGGAGCATATGGGTAATTGTGACCTCAAATATATGTGAAATGCCTGTCTAAGAAGCAAAATCGTTGAGAATGTGAAATCTGAACCACCAACGAAGCTGTAGATAAACATGAATGGCATGTGTGCCTTGGACAGAACATGTCGAGAGGTTAATTATATAGAGAATGGCCTATTTCTCAAGTCTATCTGCTCTTTCTGGCTGTTCTAAGCAACGGACTGGGGCATCTACCCTTTCAGCATGCGACGTATGCGACGTGAGTTCTGCTGTAAGGGCACAACTTTCATGAAAAAAACCGTCGTCCGGCATTCCTGGATCGTACCCGGCCTGGTAAACGTTTACAGCTTGCGAACTTGAACATGGCCCAGTCGAAATAGTGGATTTAGCCAGCTAGAAAATGGTGGATCTTTCCAGTTCGTTATGTTAAATTACCAGAGGGTAACTGGATGAGAATGCGTACTTTGCCAACGTGATTCCACTGCCAACCAACAAGTCTACCCCTGCGTCCACTCCAAGCGCCATCTGAAAAGCCCTATTTATGGTGGGATGACCATCCCCAATATGGCTACCAGCTGGTTATGACTAACAGTTCGCCATGTTCACCATGCTATAAAAAACGGTAAACCATCGAACTAAATGGGCCATTTTCTGGGATTTGCTGGGTAGCCTATTATCTTCAATACATGTCCTTTTGGTAAAAATAGGGGGGCCGGTTTGGTATACCATCTGTCATCATTTACCTGTTGTTCAAGAGGTAAACAAACCCCTCTATTAATCAACCAACCAATGGGAAAAGGACATCTAGACATAATCCAACTTTCGATCATTGGACCTATAGATAACCAACAACACATCGTTGAACCCCCGCCTATCACGATTCCACATCATCCTAGTGAGTATTTGGCATGGCCACACATCCCTCCTAGATAGGATGTACCTATACCCACTTGGAAGACTTATGGGGGACTTATGGCTGGTATAACTACACTCAGGTGGAAAACGAACGTGTGAAGGGCGGGCCCTATTCTCTGTAGGTTTACAATGTTCCCCACATATCCCGACGTTTTCATCCAAACCATCTTAGAATGTTTGTCCCAACTCTCAATGCTTCAAACTTATACCCAAACATGGATGGTTTGAGACAGCAAAGTGCGCCCCCAAAATATCAGTTGGTTTATATTTCATTGAATTACCAGGTGTGATCAAAGAATACTATCGATATATCATAAATCCCAAAGTTGTAGCTGCAAACCAGACCCATTCCCGGGATCAAATCGAACTCTTCCGAATCAAATCTGCATGACTCATGATCAAATGTCACCTTTTTTTCCATGGCTAGCTACTGAACAATGATATATCTTCTGGTTATTTAACATAGCCATAGAAAATCACCATTTTTAATAATAGGTAAACGTAAAGCAGCTATAAATGGACCATGGCTTCCATGGCTATGTAACAGTTTCATGCTTAAATCACCATGTCTATCCACGATTAGATACCCAACATTTTGGGTCCATTACTTGGATTTGATGAAAGATCCCCCAAACAAAATAAAAAAATAGTTAGCTAAGTTTGCATTTGGGTTCATACACTCTTGGATCCACGCAAACACAGGCTGACAGGAGTCTCATCAGTTTTGGTCAACTGAAAACGGAATTCCTGAAAGGTCTGGCTTCCGCGGCGCTCTTGGGAAGAGCTGGAAATTTCATCGTGTCATAATGCTTGACCCTCATCAGCTTTTTCTCTGCTTTGTAAGGGTCACTGGAATGGGCATTGGAGATGAAGTCGTCGTAGGCCCGCCGAACGGGCACGTTTGCCACATTCGCCATGCCCCCAGCGGTGGAGGGCTCCAAATCACCCACGAAGAAACGCTGTTTTTGGGCACCAGGAAGTTTAAAATCCATCTTCGAGGGTCAATAGTTATAGTTGATATTAAACATATATAGAATCCCTATAGTTGATATATAAGAATAGGATAGTTCTAGTTGGATCTAGTCTAGTTGGGAATAAAATGTCAATGTTGTCAATATTGAAGATTCCCCAAAAAGATCTACTTGGTGGTTCACCCCCACTTAGTAAGTAGGTTATTACCCTGGTTATAACTGGGCTAAGTAGGGGCAAGGTTCACTTATAACTGGGGTTATAATCCACTTACGATTCCTGGGATGAACCACCAAGTAGTTGATTTCCCCTTGGGAAACGCCGTTTTTCATCAGCGTTTTTTCATCCCAGCCACCTGCCGCTCCGTGTGGTACACGATGATTTCCATGGGTGAGCTTTGGACGGCCATCAGGGGAGCCTCAAACACCGTTCCGATTCCCCGGTGAAATCACAACGGCGGGGAATTCACTCAACGGTGAACTGAAATTCATGAACAAGTGTGATCAAACTTATAACATCCGAAGTCTCTAGGATGAAGGTTAACTTCAAAATCATATGTGTTGTTTTATGATTTTGATACGTATCAGATATGATTTGTTTTTAATCATTAAACCAACATGAACCAACCATCTCATGGGAATTGGCTATACCATGCTATACCATGTACCAAATAAAACATGGTGATTTGAGCAGCAAACCATCGGTGATTCTTGCCCAACTGATGTTTTTTTTTTCAACGCGAAACATTGGGATTAAACCAACGTCATGGGGATTGATAGTTGATTTCATATAGTACCCCTCTGGTAAACGTTTACATGACTATGACAAAATCATCCTGTTTAATGGCTAAATCAACGAACTAAATGGCCATGTTCCAGTTCGCTAACTGTTTGTTTAACGAAGGGTAACGGTTGGGTTTATAGTAGATCTATCGAACTGGGTTTGTCTGAAAATAGAGTACCTCTATATAAATCCATTGATTAATCATCATTTTCCACATTGAAATAGCCATTTGGGGATATACACCATTTTCAAACACACCCAACTGCTGTAATTCCTGGGTGTTTTAGACCAACGGCCCATGCCTGGACGGCGGTGTTCAGCTGCGCTTCGCTTAAGATCACACTGGAACGCTCCGTCCTTAGTGCTACGCTGTACTGGGGATTCATGAGGATTCAATGGGATTAGCATGGATATACCATGTAGTGGAGATTTAAGATTTTATAAGCCATTAATCTAACATAATCTAACTATGGAAGTACATAGATGGGCGGGATTAGTTTACTGGTTAGTAACTGGCTAACTGGCAAAACCATTGTTGATACTTGTGGTAATTGGAGATTTGCTATACATCAATTACAGAATCATAGTGGTTATGCACTGGATTTAGCGAACATATTCATGTAATTAATACACTTGTTATACCCTTACCGATAATAGATAATCACCCTGTATAAAACTAGATTAACCAATACTAGTCATTGATAGAAGTGGAAATACCCTCTGGTAAACGTACAAAAAGCCATTGAAAATTGCCCAGTCGAAATAGTGGATTTACCCAGCTATGAAATGGTGGAATTTTCCCATCGTTTTTTGTAAACGCCCGTTTACCAGGCCGGGTATATGAAATACCATCCACTTACGTTGGGTTGCAACCCAACCAAGGCTCCCCTGGCTAATTTCGCAACCACCAACAATGTGGGGCCCCCTAGATAGCTAAGTTTGTTTATAACTCCAATAACTATGGTTTATGATACTTATAACTATAGTTAATGGGATTTATAAACCAACATATAACTGGTGGGCCCTACATTGAAGCATCCTGGCTTTATGGGTACCCCACGTTACATTTCACGCTATAGCTGAGATGTTCATCGATGTTCATCCCCAAAAAAATATGATCATGTAGCGTCTGACACACGAAATCCGAAATTGAAAAAAACAATTTATCTAGACAATATATAGCTAATAGTTCTATATTGCTTTTACTATGCATATATATATAGCCATCTTTGAGGGGTTTACTCTAGCTATTATCAAATAGCTATTACTATATATATATATAAAGCTATTTGTGAGGGTTTACTATTGCTCTTACCAAATAGCTATTACTGTATAGCTACGGCTATTATATATATATATGATGTATCTACAGCTATCTTTGAAGGGGTTCCGGGGATCCTATTTTCTACCACTATAAATACATACATATATATATATATACACATTATGTTTATCTTTGGTGGGCTTATTGTAGGTTACTATAAAATACTGTTATATATACATATATATATATGTATAAATACAACATGTTCTGTAATGTCATATGTATGAATACTACATATATATTTTTGGAGGGTTACTATATCCCCATTCCACATCCCCACCTTTCTTCCCAAGTGCCCAACGCTGCCGAAGGCATGCAGCCGAGCGTCCTGGCGTGAATCAAACCTTCACCGGGACCCCAGGTGAGTTTGTCCACCGCGCATTCGCCGACGCTCACCACTGGCAGCACTTGCCTTGGGGAAGCGGAAGGCCAAAATCTGTGGTCAGCTGAAGATCTACCCTCTGGTTATGTCAAAATAGCTATTGAAAATGACCATTTATAGTGGATTTTCCCATTGAAAATGGTGATTTTCCATAGTTATGTTAGTTTACCAGAGGGTAGGAAAAATGATGAACAATGGAACTGTTCTAGGGAGTTTTATGAGCTTACAACAGGGATATCATAAGATGGCTCTGTTTAGCAAAAATTGGGTTTTCATCAGATTAAGCGATAAAATTAAGATTCCAGCCCGGCCATACTCAATAGGATGGAGGTGCAGAAATGGGGATGAAAGCAACAAAGATGGTCATATAGACACTCCCATCAACTATAAACAAAGGCCTATATAGCTGGGAAAATCATTGAATGAAATGGTGTTTTTCCAGCCACATTTGATGATACCAGAGGGTATATGTTGTTGGCTTATAGCATGTTATAGCTATCCAATGACGACACATCGCGAGAAAAAACCCATCTGTAGACAGGGCCGTTGACTTCACATTCCTTGCGGCAGTGGCATGGCAGTGATGTTACTTAGCATGGTAAAGAAAAACGTGGAAAACACGTCGTGTCACTGGAATTTGCTGTGATTTGTCATGCTTTGTTCAATCTTAGGCCAAGATTAAGGATGTTCATCATTTTTAGATGCTTGGGTCATGTTAGGTCAATGTTCCTTCAGTGGCAACAAACACAACTCACAAAGGCTTCCCCTACATTTCATGGTGGATTCCCAAGCATCTTGCTGGGAACACCCATCATCATAGTACTGGACTGCTTGGGATTATGCAACTGCCACCTGTGGGCCACCTTGCTTTGCAAACCAAAAAAAATCCCCATGAATATCCCATGAATGTCCCATGAATATCCCATGAATATCCAATGAAGCCCCATGATATCCCACTAAATCCATCTAAATCCCATAGAAATTCCCATAGAAATCACCATTTTTTGATCGTAAACGTCGCCTTTTTGCCCAGTGACCAGTTGGATTCCGACTTGGGCACGCCTGAGAGCGTACTGGAGCGCCACTGCACCATGCGCCCGCCGCGCGTGCCGCACGCCAGCACCTGGAAACGAGACGGTGCCTGATCCGGCAGGTGGGGAAATGTGGCACTCCGAGATGGACATCATTACTGGTTGGTGGTATACCTACCTTTCTGAAAAATGATGGAGTGAAAGTCAGTTGGGATTATGACATTCCCAACTGAATGGAAAAAGCATCCAAATGTTCCAAACCACCAACCAGTCATTACCGTAGAATTAGTAGTTACACCAAGATGAAATTAACATTGCTATGGAAACCATGGACCATTTCTAGTTGATTTACCTACTAGACATGGTGATTTTCCATAGCTATGTTAGTTTACCAGAGGGTACACCAAGATGATTGAAGCATTTTGAAGCAATCTAACAGTGTACTTTCGTTTAACGGAAGCAAATGTTTTGGAGTTGCTTTGCTTTGATCAAGGACGATCTAAGCAGTGGTCCAGAAGCGATTCGATGTGTTCCCCATCTTGTGATATGCTGAACTCAAGCAACATTCTGGGAATTTACATGACAAAGTGTAATTACCTGATTTCAAGCCATCAACTTGACACAGTCTTCCAACTCATCACTTCCTTAACACCATCACTTCTGGTTCTTGATCAACCACATCAGAAACTTGAATACGATCCCAAATCTTTTTGATTTCATCATACTACAAACCTATGACAACTATATAATTAACATCTGTTGCATCATATGTTCTTACTGTAATTGTTCTTATGTGAAACATAACATATAGAAATCCTTCATGGTTAATATCCTAAACTTCTAGGATGTCACTCCTCATTATTCCACATATTGCCTACAGGATCGACACATGCTGTTGGTATTGACAAAGTTGATGATGCCCAAACGATGATACTCCACAAATTGATGATGAGAACTATTTTTGTGTCCAACACTGAACCACATGATAATGCAGAATTTGAACGGGTATATTTCGGGATGTTCATCCAACATAAATCTCCACCCAAGAACATCAGTTTGTTGCATATATTACATCCATTACAAATCCCATTACGTCACATCATATGCCTATATAATACAGCGTGTGTATATATATATATGTATGACATATGCAGTATAAATATATAATAAAATACAAATACTAATAATATAAATATATGCATATATATATATGTCATATACACATATATGTCATATATACAAATATATATATATATACATATGTCATTTGTGTATATATATATATATAAACCCATTACTTGATATTCTGTAGACACACACTCTTGATCGCCCCGTCATCCAAAAAAACATCAGGCACCTGCTTTCGCGGGTTGTAATCCACCGAGGTGACTTTGTCCCCACTGAGGCTGTTCCTCTCGTCGATGCCCTGCAAACCTTGGCCGGGCCGGACTGGGGGCCCCCGACCCGGGTGGCAAGTTGGTGAAAAAAATGTGGGGCAAAGGTCCTTCACTTTGCTGGATTATTGATGGTTTATGGATGGTTTATGGGTGGTCTAAACAAATTTAAAATTATCCACATGTGGTGTCCCGATATGTTTGGTAGTTTGTAAGCCTCAATAGAGATATATCATATATCATGATTCGATATATCGACCACAATCCACAGCAGTTCCATGCTTCACAAACCAACTTCGCATTTGAAGAAGACTCGTGTGGTTCGGAGGGATGCATAATGCAATAGAATGGAATTGGTGGTGACAGCTGTTGGTGAAGTTCGATACCTATACTTGGGTTCATGCTCAATCACAATCCTAGGATTTATCTGTTTAACGTGCCATTCATGATTGAAATTCATTGAAGATTTAAGATATTCTGATCGTGGATCCAACGATGTTGTTCCAGTCAAGTGGGAAGTATGTTTCCAGGGTTTTAAGCTTAATTATAACTAGACGACGGATGGCCCAAGAGCGTAGAGGAGCAGAGTCTTCTGTTGTCAGTATGGAAACACTATATTACAAGATAATATATTAACGATGTATTATAGGTAGGCGAGACAATATATCACTGTGATGTCGTCCTGTTGCTGCTTGGGCTGCTCCTCCTGCGGATGCTTGAGCTTCAGCAACTCTTGGACGACTTTCCGGCATTCTTCGATGCCAGGGTTCTGACCACTGGTTCCATGCAGGGGAAGGTTTTCCGCATCCATGCCCATGGTGCCCAGCACTTTCTGCAAGCCCGCCACTGTGAAGAGGCCCTCTTTCACTCGAAGAAAGAATGGGCTGTCGCTGGCCAAGGCTCCGAACTTGCTGATCATTTGCTTGCACCAGGCCTCGGCTTTTTTCGCCGGTCTGCAGAGCTCGCTCTTGAACCTGGCAGCTGTCCACGCCACACCTCCTTGGAGTTCTGAGCTCAGCAGGCCTATGACTCTGGACGCTGTCATGTCCGTCAACTTGGTCTTCGCGTCGCTCCCGGTGAAGAACCCGTTTTCGAGGATGAATGCAGAGTTGAGCCGGGGGTTGTCCTTCAACACTGTCACGGTCGATCAGGGGTCCAATGGCCTTGTGCACGCGGTTTTTGTACACAGAGACTTTTATACACAGACGCTTTTACACACAGAAGCGTTTACACACAGACGCTTTTACACACAGACACTTTTACACACAAACACTTTCACACACAGAGACCGGACACCTACAAATCGCAATTTTACCTCAGTTTTTGGCGATCGAACCTCATTTCGTGCGAAAGGGTTGCGCCGGACACCTACAAATCGCAATTTTACTTCAGTTTTTGGCGATCGAACCTCATTTCGTGCGAAAGGGTTGCCGGACGCTTTGCAAATCGCAATTTTACTTCAGCTTTTAGCGATCGAACCTCATTTCGTGCGAAAGGGTTGCGACGGGAACCCGGAAATCGCTATTTTACTTCAGTTTTTGGCGATCGAACCTCATTTCGTGCGAAAGGGTTGCATTTCGTGCCGTCTCGTTGGCACTGCCCAGCGCCTTCAAGAGAGAAATAGAAAAGAAGGAGAGAGCAAAAGGGCAAGAGAGCAAGAGGGCAAGAGAGCAAGAGGGCAAGAGAGAATGTGAAGATGAGAAGATGTGAATATGTGAGGATGTGAAGATGAGAAGATGTGAGGATGAGAGATGTGAAGATGAGAAGATGTGAAGATGAGAAGATGTTTTACAGACCCCCACTATTGGAAGAACCCTGCGCTCAGACGCTCTCGGGAAATATGACTTATCCACATATGCTGCTTATGTTGCTTGTAGTCTTTTCTCGAATGACACCAACAGCAGGAGACTGAAAAGAATCCAAGAAACTCAGGATGTAGTTCTCATCATCCGCCAGATTCCTGCGATTTTTTGCTGCTTTCAGCCCATGGGCTGCTGATTGAAATTCTGGTTTTAAGCAACACACAAAGTATATGAACTCCCTAAAAGTCAGTACCTATATATAGTGAAACATGTAAGATATGTAAATATGTATATATATATACACACTTAACATTCTCTATATATATATATATGTACAGTTGTGGCGGATGTCTCAAGACGTTAGATTTCGGGATGCCATCTGTGGACGACCATAAATCCCTAGTGAATTGATGACCATCCCGCTGGCTGTGGCTGTTTAGTCGGACTCCTGACCATGGCACAGGTACAATATATATATATATACATCATTACATTTTATATATTTATATCATTTATTATATATTATATCTATTATATATATACACAGTATATTATATGATTATATGTGTATAAGTATGTAATACTATGTGTATAAATATATAAATAAATAAATAAACAAATATGTATCTATACATATATATAGGTGTCTTGAATTCTTAGGAGCCCCAAATCACCATGACGCCTACCCAGGGTATCCCATCTTACCCATCTCCCATCTCCCGGCGCTCCAAATTCTCAGGATGCTTTCATGGCTGCAGGTGGCCTCAGAATGTGGGGAGCTGAACAATTCACAGAAATGGATGGTAAAATGATCATGGAAAATGGTGACTTAATGGAAAATGGATGGTAAAATGGCCATGGAAAATGGTGACTTAATGACAGAATGGATTGTAAAACTCGAACGAAGTACTGTAAATAGAAAATAAATGATTTACCCTCTGGTAAACATACAAAAAGCGAACTGGAAAATCACCATGTCTAATAGGTAAATCAACTACAAATGGCAATTTTCAATAGTTATGTCAAATTACCAGAGCGTAATAGGCATATGAAAGTAAAACAATGGTAACATAGTTCAATGGAAAACTCTAGAAACAAAAAGTATAATGACGATAAAACAAATATAGGCTATAAATAGATGTCAATCCATCAACCAATCACAAGAACACCTATACATATCTATACATCCATTTTCAGACAGACCACGACATGTTAAAGTAATATCAGAGATGTGACTTGGCTTCGCCATGACTTCACTCTGCAAATTCCTGCATGGAACAGGGGAACAAAGTCATGGAGGTTTCCGTTTTGTCATGGGGGTACCCCCAGTTCTCATCCAGCTGTCATTCGATCGTATTTTAGTATTGAAACAACCATGGTGACTTGGGGATCCCCTATTATAACAAAGCCCAACATATTCCCAATTCCCTGAGAATCCGTGGCTTGTGTCACCGCGGTCCACCCACTTGAACATGTTGAACATGTTTGTGAGGTTTTCTAGAAGGAAGGGTTCATGTCGAACGACTTAGAACTCGTTGACGCTTTGGAGTTCTCCTCTTTGGTTCGAGATGACTTCCTGTAGCATTGGCCAGGCCGTCGATGTTGCCGATGCCTCTGGCATCATTGCCAGGCTTTGCCACATGAACGTCCTTAAAAAGGGTATCAATGACGAGCTGTTTCATGGCTCATCTTCCCTGAAAAAATGGTGTAATTTCCCCCTGTGCAACAAGAGGTTCAATGTCAAGCTGCCCAAGCTTTATCCTCCGGATATCTAACTTGGTGGTTTGTTGATTCCCTTAGGTTGTTTATGTGCTAAATCACTTTAACACCAACAACGCTTCAGATCTGTATGACATTGTATGACTAGAACTCAGAAAATCACTCATTACATGTATCTGTTAACTTTTAGGCCTTGACAGTCTTAACATGGCACTTTCACTATACAGTATACATCATTCTCAACATTAAACTGTATGTGCAATGGTTACATTCCCAATGTTCAAACAAACGCAACCGGCGTATTCCGTATTCATATTAAGTTGGTTATATCTCCCACTATCCCCATGACTATCCTGTTCTTGTAAAATGCCAGAAACATCCAAAGTAACAATTACCCTCTGGTAAATTAACATAGACCCTGGCAGATAGGGGTTGGAAGACTAGTTTCCATTAAAAATTTGTAATTTTCAGGGTCAAACAGTTAATTTACCAGGGGGTACAGAATATGTGAATAACAATCCTTCACATCTCAATTTGCTGCTCAATATAGATCACAAAACAAATCCCATCATAATCCGATACTCTCCCACAGCTGTTCAAACCATAAAATCCGATTAGATTCCCATTTTTTGGCCAGTATCTCGCCATAAAAATCCTATTACATTACTTCTATTCCTAAACTGGTTGGTGGTTTTAACAATCTTGAAAAATAGTCGTCAATGGGAAGGATTATTCTGTATATTATGGAAAATAATCCAAATATTTGAAACCACCAACCAGGTACTTCTATTCCTACCTGGTACATCCTTAGATTGGAAAAATCCATTAGATCTATTTCTAGAAAACCAATCTAGAGGGTTACCCTCATTCCTCTAGAAATAGATCATGGATTTTTCCCTATTAAACCCTCTAGATTGGTTTTCTAGAAATAGATCATGGATCTTTCCAATGTATATACCATCTGGTTATTTAACATAGCCATGGAAAGATCCACCATTTATAATAGGTAAACCATCTATTTCTATGGGCCATGGCTTCCATGGCTATGTTAGTCATTACCATTCCTATCTTCCCACCACTCACCATGGCTCCCATGGCTCCATCGAGGCCAGGTACTAAGAGCCCAGGACCTGCCCAGCAGCCCTGCAGTTTTTCGGGCGTTGGACCACAGGACAATTTCCTTAGCACCGCCGTGGCACCGCCATAAAGAGACCCGGCCCGGTTTTTTGGTTCACGAAAAACGAACTGGAAAGATCCACCACTTTTAATAGGTAAATGATAGGTAAATCCACGATTTCGACTGGGCCATTTTCAAGTTCGCAAACTGTTTTCCGTTTACCGGGCCGGGTACTTTCCAACAATCAAATGGCCCAAAAAAACTGGCAACCAAAGGATACCAAAGGTCCAGTAGAGCACACCATTCAGCTTGAACTTCGCAGCTTCACCATCCCGAATTTGACAAATTCATCAGGTAAGTTTTTGAACTATGGTACACCGCTGAAAATGCCTGGTCGTGTATTAACAACCATTAGAAAAATGTGTCAATTGAAATCATCATACTAGATAGGATGGAATCTGACGACAACATTATAAACACAAAAGATCACATGATACAAACCAAAAAGTAATTTTATCAATCATGATGTGTACTGTTATCATGACCAATCCTACATACCGTGCAAAAATACTTAACTTTTCGGCTGGCGAATTTATAAGTATAAGTTGTATATATTGTATATAGTGTATATATTGTACATATTGTACATGTTGTATAGATTGTATATATTGTATATGTTGCAAATATATATTGTATATATATATATATTGTATATATATATATATTGTATATATATATATATTGTGTATATATTGTATAGCTATATTGTATATATTGTGTATATTGTATATATTGTATATACATACATATATTGTGTATATATTGTATATATTGTATATATATATTGTATATATTGTATATATTGTACATATTGTATATACTGTATATATTGTATATATTGTATATATTGTATATATTGTATATATTGTATATATTGTATATATTGTATATATTGTATATATTGTATATATTGTATATATTGTATATATATATATTGTGCAAAGTGAATACATTGTTTATATTGTATATATTATATATATTGTGTATATATACAATGTATATGTTGTAACTATTGTACATATTGAATATATTGTTTATACTGTATGAGTATATATATATAATTATATATATATACATATATATATATATACAGTGTATATGTTGTCACTATTGTAAATAGTGTACATATTCTATGTATATATTCTATTATAGCGTACATATCGCGTATATCGTAATATATTGTATGTCTCTATACAAATATACATATATACATGTATACATCAACATTTACGATATGGCCAAAACCAACTTAGCTATCGGGCACCACGTTGCACCCTATGTTTCAAGGTGAATCACAATAATTCACAAACCGGAAAATTCGGCCACCTGGGGATACGCTATACAATTCAAAACCATTTCTAGTGATTTCATGGTGACATCGTTACAACTTGCTCAGACTTGTTGATGATTGTTAGATGTAAATGTGTGTATATATATTATATCCCACTATGTAAGATTCATTAATATAAGGGGTTTTGCGTCAAAACTTAGATAGGATTTACGGATGTTCATACCCCAGAAGATGGTATTCTAATAATTAAAATGGTTTTGACCCATGCCTAATATCAGATACATCCACCAAAAATAGTCTGCATCATACAAGGTGGTGCCCCCCTAGTTTTAAGTTGGTTCAGTTTCCCCTCATGAACTAGTTCGATATGTCTACCATAAACCATCGAATTCACCGAACGCGAACTAAACGCGATTCGGAACGGCACCTCCCAACAAAAGTCCTGCCCAATAATCTAACATAGCAAACTGGAAAGATCCCCCATGCTATGGCTGCTATGGCTAAAACAACCCATTTCGACTGGGCCATTTTCCAGTTCAGTTTTTTGTATGTTTACCGCTAGCCATGGCTATGGCGGCCAAGGGTCAACTTGGACTCATTGGTGACTTTGCCATCTGCGGACAATGAAAACTGGACCAAGATGACCTGAGAACCGCTCCGAGGCAAATGGAACCTGCAACGATGTGGCTATGAACAATATATCACTGCTTGGTGGTTTCAACCCCTCTGAAAAATATGAAAGTCAGTTGGGATGATTATTCCCAATATATGGGAAAATCAAAAATGGTCCAAACCACCAACCAGATAGCTTTAAAAGCCCAAAGTGAGGATTTGAACCACCAACATTAAGATTGTAAGCATATGACACCTCATAAAAAACGACTTAAGTACATGTTTTCAAACGCAGAAGTCCTCTCTTTCACCAGCTGCTAAAAACCCTTTTGTGTTTCACCCGTTGTCTCCGCCGCAATTCCTTGTCGTCCCAGTAACGCTTTTCGTCACCAGGACCACCACATCTTTTTCTCGGTAGTACTCTAACAACAACCTGGGCCGAGGAAATCGAGGAACAGAAATCCACCGAAAAATATCGACCAAGTCCTGCATAGCCTCTGGTGAATTTTCCATTTATAGTGTATTTTCCCATTAAAAATGGTGACTTTCCATAGTTATGTTAGTACACATATATACCCTCTGGTTATGACTAACAGTTTGCCATGGAAAGATCCACCATTTTTGAATTCGGTAAACCATCGATATTTCTATGGGCCATCTATACCATGGCTATGTTAAATAACCAGAGGGTAACAGCCGGTTGTTTTTTTGGAAACCTCCATTTTTTGTTTGGAAATCTCCAAGTAGATCCCATTTCTTTCATGTCTATCTACAGTAAGTCGTATGAAAAAACATGTGTAAGGTCTATCAAAGCTTAGTCACGAGGGGAGCAAATAATGATGGCTAGGGGAGAATCATGAGATTCATGAGGTGGCCACTGTGAGATTCATGAGGTGGCCACTGAAGGAATGTGGCCTGCTGCATTTGCTGAGCGTTTTGTTTGTATGTCTTGTTGGTGCACTTCTCATCAAATTCATCAAAGGCCTTGTCCAACAGTGACTGCTTCAGATTGAGGGGTGCTTGGGCTATGGCAACTCCTGGATGCAACTCAGATCCCAGCTCCTCAATGGCGTAGTTGAATTTCACTGCCGAAGCCACTATGGTGAATGGTCGCCGTTCACCAACCTGCTGGCTCTGCAGGGCTGCGGCAAAAACGATCTCCCTGGCAGCAGTCACATCCTCCAGCTCTTGTGTGTACACCATCTGCGCTCACCACATGCAGCATGTGGGGAATCTAATCTGGTTGGTGGTAGACCCACGCCTCTGAAAAATATGAGTTCGTCAGTTGGGATGATTATTCCCAATATATTGAAAAATAACCCAAATGTTCGAAACCACCAACCAGTAATTCTTGGATATATGATCATATATGTTGAAATTTGTTTACGCGGCCAAGAAAATCCAAGTATAGCATAGCGCATCATCTAGATTAAGTTTGGTTTGGTAAGTCAGGGAGTTGAATCTGGTTTGATAAGTTAGTGACAAAAAATGGCTTGGTATGGTAGAGACCTAAATTCCTCAAATAGACTAACCACCTATCGACAAATCGTTTTTTGCTACAGGGGATCCAAGATGAAAACCAGGTTATATGGGGAACAATCCAAACATCACATGGCACTGTGTACCCTTTTTGGGGTATCCACCACTTATTTTATCTGTATGTTCAACGCTTCAATCACACTGGTTCCTTTTATATTGGTTCAATCATGGTATGAAGACATTATCTGGTTGGTGGTTTCAACCCATCTGAAAAATATGACTTCGTCAGTTGGGATGATTATTCCCAATATATGGAAAATAATCCAGTCATGTTCCAAACCACCAGCCAGTGATGTAATTAATTAGTCGTTTCCGTTGTTTCCCAAATCTTGTGGCTTTGGTAACCAAAACAAAGGAGGAAAACCCTTAAATCCGCCTAAGTCCATTGGTTTGTCGATTTTGCAGTTCCCAACCAAACATCGTTTGCTTGAAAAATTAGAACACCCACCATGTGTGACTTTACCAGCTATAAACCTCCCAAAGGGTAAAATCCAACAATTTGATGGACTTTTTTTATGGGATATTGATATTGATGGTATAATCATTTTAACCAGCAATATATCATCAAAATCCATGGTTTATCCCATGATATTGTTTTCAATATCATCCCATAAACCAGCATTTTTGATGGTGAAGCTCCCCTTTTTCCCACGGCTTTCCGCTGCCGTTTCATCCAGGCAACAAGGGCGAGCCGATCTTGTAGCGTTCCGAACACAGCCCGAAGTCGTCCGCCAAGTAAATGATGCCCTGCTCGCCTGTCAACGGCCATGACTCAGGTACCGATTTCTGGGAGGTACCTACCATTTATAAGTCCTATTTTTCAGGCCTATGCAAGGGAATATCCCGGCAACATATGGCCAAAAATATAATACTGTACCTCCATTTTAGGATCCTGAAATTCCCATTGATGATGGGTTGTGATGGTTAGCTTGACAAAATGAGACACAATTATGGGATAACATGGTTGGCTGATCAATTGTTGAATCATATATTAAGTTTTTTGTGAGGTTTAAAACATATCAATATATCGGATAAAGATACGGGATCAACTGGTTAGCTAATCATAACTTCTATCATATACTACACTAGCTACAGGTATATTCATGTATATTAAGTGTATTGCCCATACCCCAAATCATTCCCCAGTTACTATTTAATCGATATGGGGTAGAGTTATAATGGAACTTATCATAAGTGGATAATTACAATATGATACAATGGGATGGTGATGGGTTTCAACCATGTATGTGTAAAAAAACGTGTCTGTATACATAATATGGTGGTTTCCTGGAATGGGTGTCCCCAAAACCATGGGTGTAAATACTACCGTGGGTGTAAATACCTTTAGTGGTCCAATTTTGGATGATTTGGGGCGCCCTCATTTTAGGAAACCTCCATATATCCAACCACACATGATGAATATCTATCGGGAATCGCCACATGATCAATCTAATGTAGACTCAACATTAGTTCAATACAATGCGATACAGTGAGATACATAACCCATGGATAGGCATAATGGATAACATTTTCATGTGGGATTCTGAATAGGTTTTAACCATCAAAAACATTGTGTTCTAAATGCTGTGATTATACTACTATCAATGACCATTTTAGGAACCTAAATTGGAGGTACCTACCATATATACGGCCTATTTTTCAGGCCTATGTAAGGGGATATCCCCACAATTCATATGGCCTGAAATACGGTACCAACGTACCTCCATTTTAGGATCCTGAAATTCCCATTGATACTATTACCGTTTCTTTGGTATATCATGGAATACGACAGGATAAACATAGGCACTATTTCCTGTGGTACCCAATGTTGACGTACGAGTATCATAATCCAGCCTGGGTGACTGGCCCAGAAATAGGAGGGCTGACAATCACCAACCCTGTTGGCCAAGGACATGCCAAGGACAAATTGGGTAGGAACAATGAATTGACATACACAATTTTGAATGGGTATAGGAAAGGAGGTGAATACCAACGTCTGCAAATATCCTGTTTCCTGGTTGCTACAGCTTACCCAAAACAAACACCTGCAGCAATTGCAAATGTATCAAAGAATGATGATCATCGTCATAATAATAATAAACATAATCATAATCATAATAGTCATAATCATCATGGCTAATCTTGCACACTAAGTGCATAAAACGCGTTTCTTTTTCCCCGGCTAGAAAATCCAGCATTCCCCCATGAAAAATTGTTCCAAGCGAATCCATTTTGGTCTATCCATTGTGTGTTTCCGTGTTTTTTTTTCGAACCTGTTGATGCTAAGTTCCGTGAATTTCGTTGCTTTATGTCAGTGCAATCTCCATTTCTCTTGGTTAATTCACTAAGACCCTAGAAATTCCAAAACTTCACCGGTGCAGCTTTAGATTCAATTAAGATCCAATTAACATCCATGAGTCAGTTGGGATGATGAAATTTCTAATATATATATATAATTATATATATATGGAAAATAAAACTATAATGTTCCAGTCACCACCAACCAGAGTAAGACACCCTAGAAATTCTAGCAGCCGTCGTCTTTTCACGGGGCCTCCGAAAAAGAAGGGCGGATTCTCCAGGTTTGGCTCTCCCGTCGGAGTGGCTGTACGAAAAATCACCTGGACAGGTCCCATATAGGGTTGACAGGTCCCAGGAAATGTGCACGACTCCCGAAGTCTGTGCTATTTTTTGGGATATTATAATATATATATATATAATGTGTAACTATATATATAGGCTACAGTTGTATAATTCAGTTCATCCACTGCATATAATATATATATATATATATTATATACCCAAGTATTGTGTATAACTTATATAACATGCAACATATCATAACAAATCATATGATGTGAGTCCCACACCATGTTCAATATCATGCATGAAAGTCACATGACCCCTCTTCAATGGTAACTTCATCATCCCAAACAGGTCACAAACCCATGGGCCAGGTATGTGTCAGGTCTGCCAGGTCTACACAAACCACATGGGATAAAATCAGAGAACCACTGGAGAACTTGTGGCGCCAGACAGGCGCCGTTTTTTCATAGGGCTGCAACAAATGAAGAGGATAAATCCTAAGTGGTTCCCACTCAGTTTGGGGGAGATATGGCAAGAATTCTGCAAGGAACACACGAAATATGGGTGATTTATGGTGATTTGAAATTGATGTTCCACTCTTGGAAACATCACAATCTTTAAGGATCTGGAAAAGGTCTATTTCTGGTATCCAAAGTGATCCCCCCAAAATGAGCAGTGTCATACCAGGCACCAGGGATTTTAATCATTCACAATGACAAATCTGGTTGGTGGTTGAGCCCAACCCCTCTGAAAAATATGAAAGTCAGTTGGGACTATCATTCCCAATATGATGGGAAAAATAGTCCGTTCATGTTCCAGTCACCACCAAGCAGCAAAAATCCTCTCAAACTCGGAATGTAATCCTCTGGTAATTTAACATAGCTATTGAAAATGGTGATTTATAGTGGATTTACCCATTCAAAATGGTGATTTTCCATAGTTATGTTAGTTTACCAGAGGGTAATCCTCAAATGAAACACCGGTCTCCTTTGAGTTTCAACAGTGCGCAGGTATCATTTGGACCGCGGTCTCCAGATCCTCCCGGTCCCCCGGTCTCCGGGTCGCCTTGTCATGAGCCCCCGACTTTCGGTAGTGGCACATCCTTAGTATCCGGGAGGCATGGCCAAGACATCTTAGATACCCTGAGTCAGGGCTAGTATATTGCTGGTTAGTACAAACCAATTTATAAATAAAGTCTTAGCTGGTTAGTATATTCTATCCCCAGTATTCCCCAGTTGTATTAATAGATTCAAGTTCCAAACTACCTGCCCAGTCGACTGAGAAAATTGGACCATCTCCACCACCAGAACACCATCGAATCATCTCAAAAACTCTGTTTGAAAAGGGGATGGGAATATCTATGGAATATTTTCAGATCTTTGAGCCATCTGCTTCAGGATGATTGTGCTCCTTGGCGTGTCCGACATGCCAAACTGCTGTCAAACTGCGCTGTCCGTGGACGCCCGCGGGGCATGGCAAAATCTACTCGTGGAGATTTGTCAGGTCCTGGACCATCTCGTACGGCCTAGTGACCAGTCAGTTTAAGTGGCTCTGAGAGACACAGAAAGGCTCACTGTCAAGAGGAGCGTCAAGCTTCACCAAGCCCTTGGAACAGAACTGGATGGCAGAACTGTCAGCAACCCAGCCAGTGAAGTCCCTGACAACTGTGCCAAGCTCTAGCCAATTGGCTCGCATGGTTTCCGTCGACCAGTTGTCAGCAAGACCAGTGTCAGCACCAGCGATCTGGTCATCATTGAGAACCACATCACATACCAAGATGTGGATCTTCATGGATCGCTGGATCCCACAGTGAGTTTTGCTTCTTCAAAAGCCATGGCTTTTGCTGGGCATCCAAATCACATGGAGATTTCCTAAGTCATCGAAGTACCCCCAGTTCACATCCATTTGATTGGTTGTTTTTCATGAAATAAACCGTCCAGCTATGGGGGTACCCCAATTTCTGGAAACCAAATCACATACATTTCCAGTAGATTCACACATGGAGCGATCCTAAAAATTAAGTAATGTCAACCCCGGATTAATAAACAATGGTTTATTAATTAGGGGGGTACTCCTCCAATAGTCATAGTCTAATACTTAAATGGTACCGTCCCAATTAAGCAGCCTAGGGGTTTATTAATCCAGGGTTGACATTAATGATGTTGTTACTCGCAAGCGCTGGCTTCGTCTGCTGCGAGTCAGGATGTTTAGAGTTTCGGCTCGGAACAAGGCAAGCTTCCAAGAAGGAAGGACAACCAATGGATCAAATGGATTGTTTCAAAGGAAAATCTATAGGAAACCTATTTTTTTTTGTCTTGGCCATGAAATTTCAAACGTAGGACTTCACTCTGAAAATTATCCACCAAACTACAGATTGTGATTCGCAAATAACTGGCAACACTGGCTACACAACGACCATTGGATTAGCCCAGGGATGCGAGCGTTGTAATTTGGGTGGCGAGCCAGGTGGATTCTGGTTGGTGGTTGAGCCCAACCCCTCTGAAAAATATGACTTCGTCAGTTGGGATGATGAAATTCCCAGCTGAATGGAAAAATAATCCAAATGTTCCAAACCACCAAGCGGGATTTATATATAATGATAATCATCCGGGCAAGTTGCTCTCTGGTTCCGTGCAACTCATAATTCAAGGGATGGTTGCATACCTTTCGTCCCAGTTATCCAATTTTGGTCCTACACATCCAGTTATCCACAAAGCATATTTTAAAAGAACAGCAAAACGAACAGGTAATCACATAGAATAACAGTATCATGAACTGTAGAACTAGACAACTATATGAACCAATAAGCGTGTATATAATTATAAATATATGTATGTATATATATATACATATCCAACTATCATGTTTATGTATCCCAATTTATGTGTCCTCAAGGTGGTCGATCATCGTGATCATACAGTGTTTGGGAGATTCGTTATTTCTGGACACGCCCATATCATATCTGGTTGGTGGTATACGTTACCCCTTTGAAAAACATGAAAGTCAGTTGGGATTATTATTCCCAACTGAATGGACAAATAACAACTGTTCCAAACCACCAACCAAATATTGTTGGTTGAATATTCAACTACTTCGAGTCTTGTCCTAATCTCCTGAAATGGCAACAAATTCTCAGTCAGCAATGGCCCCCGTGCCCCCCCAAATAAAACTTGGTTTACAATCCCTTTTAACTATAGACTTAATTAAGAATAATTAAGATATGAATCCTAGTTTGTTAATGTACAAACCCAGCTTATGCAACTTGGCGATTCCGAACTGGGGCACCAGCTTCCATGCCTTATCTCATGTTCAACCCTAGATTTCTTCGATTTCTATCTATCTTACGGATTTCCTTAAGATTGATATAAGATATTCCCAAACATACAGATATATATATATATATATATATATATACATACCTTGTAAATAGAGATCCACAAAAGTTTCGCTGCCGAAGATCTGATTGCAGAGCCCTCGTTGATCCGTCTTCCAGACCCCCACCACACCATTGTTGTCCGTGGTGACGCAGCGGGTGCCGTTTGGGTTGAAAACGATGCTCAAGATCCTGCTGCGTCGACAGGATCTAGGGGTGAACAGCCATTTGAAGATACCCTCTGTAAATGTAACCCAATATATATATATATACATACGCATATGCATATCATATACATATATACATACATATATACATACATATACATATATATACATATATATATATATGTGTATATATATATATATGTATAAGGGTTAAGAAGAAGAAGAAGAAGAAGAAGAACGACATGTAAGATTTGAAATAATCCCAGATAGCCTCGAGTTAGGGTGGAATACCCAATGGAACCAAGGGTGAATAACTGGTGAATAACTCTGGTAATTTAAGACAGCGATGGAAAATCACAAGTTTTGATAGGTAAACCATCTGTAAATGGGCAATTGTCTTTGGCGGGTACATGGGACAACATGGGTATATGATCAATAAAAACTTGAGATTTAACATTTAACCAATAAATATAAGCGACAAAACACATGGAATTGTTCACGAACAATTGGAATCTAACAAACAAATGGGGATTTAAGCGATACATGGTGGATTTACAACCAAACATGAGAGTCAATCAGACTCAACCATGTAATTTATAGTGGTTAGTGATAGGTTTCTATAGGTATCTGCAACTATAAATGGGAACACATGATTTGAATGTTTCAACCCATGCAGTATAGGTAGGTTGGTTCATTTCACGAGGCGAACGGTTGGGTTGAACAGGTTGATATGTGTGTGTATATATATATATACCCATAGGATCCATGTATGGTATATATGCTAACATTTGGGGTATATTGACGGTAAATGTTACCATATATAGCTTACATGGATCCTATGGGATATATATATATATATCTGTAGTTAGATGGTGTAACACAAATTAACAACTTCAGGCGAAGGGGTTTTTGAGCTCCTCCATCCCTGAACCGACCATGGCGGAGCAACCGCATCAAACTCCACCACCAATATAGGGTCAATATATCAATGGCCATTTCAGGAACCGATTTATTGGAGGTACCGATTCCGTATATAAGGCCTATATAAGGCCTATGTAAGGGAATATCCCCACAAAATATGGCCTGAAATACGGTACTAACGTACCTCCATTTTAGGATCCTGAAGATCTCCCATTGAATATAAGCTAGTGCTCTGCTTATAGGACCATGGTGGGTGAGCTCAGGCACCGTAGATGCTGCATCAATGGGCTACCCTGTCGAAGGATTGTGCGGTAGCGTCACTCCATCGGAGGTTGCCACAGGCTCAGCGCTGCTTTCTGCAAGGTTGTGCCCCCCCAGTTATAAGTTGGTTTATAAACCATAGTAAATATTAATACATCTACCAAAAACCATAGTGAAATTGGAGTTATTTGCACCAACTTAGCGATTCCGAACTGGGGCACCACCTTGTGGGATAGCTTCTTGTAGGAACATGACCCCAAAGATCAGTATCTAGCCGACAATGATATTGACCCAGCTGAGTATGAGTCAAACATTGGGCTACCAATGGACAATTGTCACCAGCTATGCGCCAAGTAGTTACCTAACTCGGTTAACTACTAACAAATCTGGGGGTCATGGTAGTTATATTTGTTAATGGTGATTTCAAATAAACATGTAACTGGGGAGGGGGCTAATTACAAGGTATTTTCAGATCTGATATACCTTGCAGTTTTTTGTAGCTTGGTGGATTTTCATACATTAACCTACTCAACAAAAGTCTACCAAGTTCCCTAATTGTTTAGTAAAACAAAAATGCATCATGATATCGCATGTTTTGTGTATGTTCCGTGGTTAACCCCCTATAATTGATGGTTAAATCCCACTAGAACTTTCCTTCTAACCTCTCAACTATCATTTTACTCAGTTAGATTTACTTATCCCATAGTTCTTCAGTAGTTAAAACATCATAAACCCCCTACAGGTAATGGTCTTTGTTGATTTTTCTCATTAAAAACCAATCAAAATCTGTTAAAATCGGATTCAACCATTCAACTGCATCCAAATCCATGATAATTCCCATAAATTACTTGTAAATCCCATTCAAATACCATTACCAGTCCCAATCTCAGATACCCTGCAAAACATGACAAATTCTTAGCTGGGGTTTCACGTAGATATTCCCATTGATACCAAAAGACTAGTTAGGATTGAAGTACCCATCTATCATCTAAGATTGACCTAGAGATGACTTTTCAGGGTCGATTTTTCAAGGTCAATGTTGGGAATTTTCCCATATGCTCCATGGTGCTGGTATATTTACTCCATAGTGCTGGCAACTCCCACAAAATTCCTCCAATTTTGCTGGAAATATATATATATATATCATTCCCATAAATCCCATATAAATCCACATCAAATACTATTAATGTCAACCCTGGATTAATAAACCCCTAGGCTGTTTAATTGGGAGGGTACCATTTAAGTATCAAATCATGACTATTGGAGGAGTACCACCCTAATTAATAAACCATGGTTTATTAATCCAGGGTTGACATTATATCATGTAATATCCCCACAAAATCCCACAAAATTCATGATCATTCCCATAAATCCCATATAAATCTCATTCAAATACCATTACTCCCATGGATTCCTCCAATTTTCCCCATCACCAGGGGCACTTTTGAGCCGTCTCCCGAAAGTGTCCCCGCCTGGCATCTCGGTGCACCTCTCGGTCGTCGCGCGCATTGACGGCCCCAGGGCCCGTGAAGGTCACAGCGCCGTCCTCCCAGCCCGCGGCGATGACCTGCCGAAAAAGTGGGGTTTTGTTCAGCGAAAAATGGGGAGTTCTCTGGGGATTCTATGGATATTTATATGATTACTGGGGGAATTATAGATTTATATGGGGATTCTTGATAAAATCAGTTGGTTAGGGGATATAGTAACTATAGTAATTATAGTATTATAATATCAGAACTATAGTAAATATATAATCTCACTAATAGTATTATAATATCACTATATCAGGCGGTGCCCCAGTTCGGAATCGCTAAGTTGGTGCAAATAAATCCAATTTCACTAGGGTTAATTAGGGGGTTATATCGAACTAGTTAATGGGGATTATAAACCAACGAACATAACTGGGAGGCACCATCTTGTGGGGATTTATATGGGGATTCTATGGATATTTAAGATCTTATACTTGATTAATGATGGTGAACAATTGGTGCTAAGTTGGTTTATGACATGTTTTAACCCAGCAAAATGGTGATTGTTTTTTCATATAAACATCAACGATAGGGACTTAACTGTCAAAGTTGGGTCTAAAAACTCAAGATTGGGCGCTAAGTTGGTTTGTTTCACTCATATAACTTGTTGATGAGGTTCATGTTTAGTTCATGGGCTTTATTTCATGCAGTTATCATCGTTTCTATCCACTAGAAAATGGTGAAATCAACCAACTTAGCTAACATAGTTCAACTATGCCTCCCAGTTTTTGGTGAAATTCCCATTTTTTTTAACCCTCTGGTTATGTCAAATATAGCTATTGAAAATGGCCCAGTCGAAATAGTGAGTTTTCCCATTAAAAATGGTGATTTTCCATAGTTATGTGAACGTTTACCACAGTGTAACCCCAAAGTCATCAACGAGGCCGTGCCACGCACACACACACACACACACGCGAAGCCTTGGAGGTGGGATGCCACGCCAGTGCCGTGCAGGGCAGACCCTGGCGTTCCTGGTTGTAGTCCAGCAACTCTTCGCCCTGCGGATCCAGATTTTCCGGGGGAAACAGCTGGTTTTGGTCCATCAAAAAACTTCGAAAAACCATGGGAAACATCGAAACATCTGATCCAGGTGGTTTTTAACCATCCAAAAACAATGGAAACATGGAAAACATATGAGAAACATCTATAAAAATCTGGGATTTCCCGTCTTTTCCCAGGGTTTTCCCATCTTTTCCAAGGGTTTTACCGTATTTTCCTAGGGTTTTACCATATTTTCCCAGCCATATTTCCCCAGGGTTTTCCAATCTTTTCCCAGGGTTTTACCGGGTTTTCCCATCTTTTCCCAGGGTTTTACCATATGTTCCCAATCTTTTCCAGTGTTTTCCATTTTTTTCCTAGGGTTTTCCCATCTTTTCCCAGGGTTTCACAATCTTTTCTCAAAGTTTTACAATCTTTTCCCACGTTTTCCAATCTTTTCCCAGGGTTTTACCGGGTTTTCCCATCTTTTCCCAAGGTTTTACCATATGTTCCCAATCTTTTCCAGTGTTTTCCATTTTTTTCCTAGGGTTTTCCCATCTTTTCCCAGGGTTTTACCCTATGTTCCCAATCTTTTCTAGTGTTTTCCGATCTTTTCCAAGGGTTTTCCGATCTTTTCCCAAGGTTTTCCCATCTTTTTCCATGGTGTTCCCATATTTTCCCATGGTGTTCCCATATTTTCCCATTGTGTTCCCATATTTTCCCATTGTGTTCCCATATTTTCCCAAGGTTTTCCCATCTTTTTCCATGGTGTTCCCATATTTTCCCAAGGTTTTCCCATCTTTTTCCATGGTGTTCCCATATTTTCTCATGGTGTTCCCATATTTCCCATGGTGTTCCCATATTTTCCCATGGTGTTCCCATATTTTCCCATGGTGTTCCCATATTTTCCCATGGTGTTCCCATATTTTCCCATGGTGTTCCCATATTTTCCCATGGTGTTCCCATATTTTCTCATGGTGTTCCCATATTTTCCCATGGTGTTCCCATATTTTCCCAATTTTCCCATGGTGTTCCCATATTTTCCCATATGGTGTTCCCATATTTTCCCATGGTGTTCCCATATTTTCCCATGGTGTTCCCATATTTTCCCATGGTGTTCCCATATTTTCCCATGGTGTTCCCATATTTTCCCATGGTTTTCCCATATTTTCCTATTGTTTTCCCAGTGTTTTTGATGGCTTTTCCATCCCCAACAGATGCCGCCCTGAAGATCTGGGTCTGGCACCTCTCGAAAGATCCGCAAGGTGCAGCCATCCGCCACCGCCAACAGAGGCTGCTCCTACAGGAAAATTACATTTTGTTCATACAGTTTAGGCATTTTATAACTGGTTATGTTCCATTTATAAATGGTTATAATCCCATATAACTTGTTATATAATGATAACTGGTTATAGATGGTTTTCATTGGTAAATATCAGTTATCAATATTCATATAAGTGGTTATTATACCAGTTAAATATAACTAGTGGGATTATAACTAATATCACAACAGATGCTCCTACCAGTTAAGGCCATTTATCCGTTATAACTGGCTATAAACTGGTTCTAAATGGGACTATACATTCTATAAATGGGGTTATAAGTACAGTACTTATAACTGGTAAAGGGCCGTAACTGTAGGTAAACCCATCATGTTTATCATCAAATGGGCCATGAGAAAAATAACCAGAGGGTAATATAATAATACACATCAATAATATACACATGTTGAATCAGTACTTTACTATACGAGGAACATTCAACAATACTATATGAATATACAGCAGTTAATAATTATATAATAATATAGTATTATCAGAGAGTACTATACCATGTTAATCATATAGTATTCCCATATGCTCCATGTATGGAATATGTACCAACATTTGCCCCAAAACATGGAGCATGTATGGAATATTCCCATTTGCCCCATTTGCCCCATTTGCCCCAAGTATAATCACCAAGTTTTGTAGGTAAATATACCATACATGGAGCATATAGTACTATACCATGTTAATTAATCAATACTGTCATATTCATATAATAGTACTATACCATAGTAATATCATGTTAATCATATAGTATTCTTTCAATCATGAAAAACATGCCCTCCAGTGCTCCCGTAACCGACCTCCGCCTTTTTTCGTTCGGAAGTTTGTTTCGAGTTTCCACGAAGGTGATTCTCAGGGTCGAACTGTGACTTGAGAGGGTATACTTCATGGCATAGTATGGTAATATAAATTAGAATAACTAATAGTTCAAAATATAAATCAGAATATAGTGGTTGGTGGTTGAGCCTACCCCTCTGAAAAATGATGGAGTTCGTCAGATTGGATCATCATCCCAACTATTGGGAAAAATAAAAATCATATGTTAAAAACCACGTAGAATAACTAGTCCAATAAACATAAAGTTTTAAATAGTATTTGGATATATTTAATCTAACTCTTAGACTTTATTTTTATTTTTATAATATGTTATATTAAAGTATGTTAATGTAGATTAATTCATAGTATATTTAACCCACAAAAAAAAATGGTCAGAAATCTTCCATCACCATGGAGCATATGGTATATAGCCCAGCCCAACAATGATATATCTAATTATGTATATATATATATATTGTTTTTTGATGGAAGCTCATTTTAAAGAATATATTGCATATATATATATACATATATTACTTTAATAGTACAACAATACATATTCAGTTCCTTTGATCACAATAGGATTTTTACTCTGCCCAAACTAATGCCAATATGATGAAGACGCAACAATAAGGCTCATCTTTTGTACTAAACACTAAATTCTACTTTTCGGAATTGAGAAATGCATTTGTGTTTAGTTTCACACTAATGTTAATTAATTAAGGCAGAAATTGTGGTCTGAAAGCACACCAGAAACACACATAAACATGAACAGCTACTGCAGGGAGTCTTGTTTGAATACCTGGACTGTTGAGAAAAGCTTCCTTTGTCAGTGTAGCCCCTGGATCACCAATATCGAATGCGAAATCTTCCGATCATTGATTACACAATTCATCTTCCGATACAGATCTCAAGTATGACAATGCCGCCTCAACCAGTTCGAACTGATTGCGACCAGACCGATATGGGCCTTTGAAGTGGTTGGTGAGCACTGTTCCACGGAGAATTGCTGATTTCAATTTGGCACTTTGTAGAGCTCGATTGGCATCGTTCCAGAGGGGATGACACGCCTCTGGGATTGAAAAGCACCTCAAAAAAAGAGGACCTGCACAGAGGTTAGCAGCACGAAAGTTCACTCCCTCCTCATCCTGTAGTAGGACCAGAATGCGACGTAAATGTACTGGCTTGATAGGCACATTGTCAACAGGTTGAAGTTCTGTCAGCCTCAAATATCAAGTGATAAATACAAAAACATATTTATTGTAATATTTTGGGGGATGCGATAAATGATGCAATGAAACAGTTCAGAAGGAGGAAACAATGGAATCAACCCTGTCCTGTAAAAAGACATAACCATTATTTAAATGATCAAAACAGATATTGTAACAAGTCTGTTTCCCATAAAACTAAAATACACACAACACATATTTTTAAACAAAATTGCTCAAAAGCTGGTTGTTACATCCCTTCCCTCAAAAAAAACTGCAGAAATCTGAAAAAAATGCAATACATATGTAATTCATTCCTTTGGTAAACTTGATTGAAGGATTCCCACAAACACAAAAACAATCTTAGATCCTATGTAGAAAACTAAGATGCCTAGCCGGTTATATCCTTTTCTAGCCGGTTGTATCCTTTTAACATCTTTTAACCTGATTGGGAGTGCATCCCAATTTTTGGCAAAGAAATCAAAGCAGAACCTATACTCAACCAACAGGCCAACAGGGTTGATTTTTGTTCCAAGAGAAAAACATCAATTCTCTCTGTGGGACATCAACCATTGAGCAAGTTTAACCACTTGCCAGTTGGGATGATTATTCCCAACTGAATGGAAAGTCATAATCCATTCATGTTCCAAACCACCAGGTTATTACCCCTGATACTCCGATGGCTCCGATGGCTCCTCGCCCTTACTCCACGCTATGCACGTGACATTGGCATAGTCGTTCAGGGCCAAATCATTGTCGAAGTAAATCGACGACATGGCGACGGGTCGCGCCGATGTCCGGGGGGGAGGTGCCGTTCGGTGCCTGGTGGGGAGTTCTGGGAGCGTTACGAAGATCGAAGGATTGAAAACAAAACATCAACGGATTGAAAGATGGTTTCAAGATGGTGTAACATGATGTATAACCACTTAGAATACTTAGAAGGCAACTTAGAAGGCGGGTTAAACCTGATTTGCGAAATATCATAATTAACATATATGATATATTATGACTATTATGTAGTAAATGAGTTGGAGGATAATCATTGACATGATTGGTTGGATAGGCAACACATCTGGCTGAGTATGTGTCATCGACATGTTGTGCGAAATCCTTGACCATATATTCCTTAAGCAGAAACACATTGAGTTAATTTGATTTAAGTTCTCTTGTCTCATAATCAAATTCCGTTTTGCCACAACTTGACCACGGCCAAGTCTAGGTATTGATATTGATATGCTGCCACAACTGTCCCAACTTGATCAACAAAAGAAACAACAACTGCGGCGAGGCAACGTCGAGGCATCACAGCATTCAAAGGATGGACTATTTGGAACACCCTGAATCCTATCTATGTTGTCTCCCCAAATTTAAAAACGATTTCCAGGTGTCCAACTTTTCTGTATGGGTGTGTCTTACAATAGGGTATACTCCCAAATGACCGATCCAGTAGTGATAAACCAATAGATTTTAGGGTAGCCTATTTTCAGACAAAGCCATATTCTGGTGTTGGCTTTCGATCTGTAAGAGATAAACAAATGCATCAGTAAACTCCACCACTTTGACATGCCACAACAGGATTTATGCCCCGTAGATTTTGGCATAAACTAATTCTGAGACAGAGATCGCTTTTCTACATAGCACGCAGGTCCATCGCCATGGGCATTTCAATAGAAAAGGGAATGATTCACCCCTTTTTCGGATAAACCCAGGTGGATTACCCAGTTCCAACGATGTGATCTTGTCGTCCAGTAGACTCTTTATTGAGGGAATATGGGACGAGAGAACATAAGCATGCAGTCTGTCTAGGAATGCTGCAGGATGGGGCAGGATTTCAAGTCGGCCCGTCCATGTGTCAAAAAGTCAGAACATTTCTTAGATGGGTTTGGTCTGAAAATGAAGTGTACCCCAAAATTACAGGGAAAATCATTGAAATTGATGATAAACCATTGGATCGTGGGGTACCCTATTTTCAGACAAACCCATATGCAAATGTGTTCAGTCGACTTTAGCAAAACATGAAGGCACAACAACATCCCATCCCTTAATTAAAATTTAGTTACAGCCAAATTCTATGTGGTTTTCATGCCCTACATCCACCATCCAGGGATTTTTTGGGGACTATTGAGCATATTGGGATGTTCATGCACCAACATCATTCAAATTTCGGAGGGGCATTGAAAGGTTTGACCCGTTTTGTCGCTTTGTTGCGGTTAATGTCATAATTCCTTTTTTTTGTTTAACTCCATCTGTTTCTTGAGCAACAACAACAACAACAACAACAACGGGTCAAATATAACATGCGTACAGGTATGTAATTGGAACTCTAGCAGCACATGTACCACAGTAAAACAAACCCATGAAAAAAACATGTTGGCTTATTAACAGTTCTCATTCATCAAACCCACTGAGCCCACCTACAATTGGGTATTTCGAATGTGTTTCGAATGGCTCTCAATGGGTTGTTTCATCCAAGTTCACAGGTCTTATGCCATTTCGGTATTACCCTCTGGTAGCTATTGAAAATAGCCATTTATAGTGAATTTACCCATTGAACATGATGATATTCCACAGTTATGTTAGTTTACCAGAGGGCAAAAGGTATGATGTTGGGGTTGTCCATTTTCAGAAACACTTAAATGGGTTGTGTAACACTGGAAACTAATCAACCAACTATCATTTGTCAACTATACCACTGACTATATCATACTATATCCTCTAATATCAGTGATATATCCCCATATCCATCCACATCCCTCAACCAATCAACATCAACAGGGGATCGCAGCTGCTCAAGCTCGTCCCCTTTCTTCGTGGCTTATCCATGCTTATCCTATCTATACATCATCACCAATCTATAAATGGCCGTCACGAAGCATAGTGAATAACGCATTCTGATAACTATGACTATGATCACTAGGACCAGTTATAGGGGTTATCATGGTTATCCATTATTACATAACTCTAATGTGAGATTCACCCAATACCATAAACCATCCTCAAGTCATCACCATGGACAAATGATTGGACTTCAACCAGCCCCAAGTCTGTTGGCATTGGGTGTCCCACGTTAATCCACCATGATAGTGACTGTGGGTTATATCTGTTACCATGGTATCCATCAGCCATCTAGAGCTTAGAGCCATTATCCATAACAATTCATAACTACATATCTCATATCATATTACATATCATACAAAACATCGCACGATTATGATTATGACTCTGTGATCATGATATGTGACATTCTCACGATACTATTTCATTAAATTGTCCCATTAATAATCACTCGAACCTTCCGCAGCGCGGCTGCCGAGGAGAATGGAAGGGAACCAGTAGGCCAAACAGCCACTGATTCCACGCCTGTCCCGCAACGCAACGGAACGCCGTAAGCGACACAAGTAGGTAACGTGCAATACGTAAGGCTGCACTCAGTGAAGTCTTCAAGTCTACTCTTCATCCCATCTTATCTCACCGATGAATCATATACTGGTTGGTGGTATACCAACCCCTCTGAAAAATATGAAAGTCAGTTGGGGCTATTATTCCCAATATATGGAAAAATACAAAATGTTCCAAACCACCAATCAGATATCCATTAAATCCCATCATTGGTTCATTCCTGCGGGTCGGAAGCCTGGTTGAAACAAAAGTGCGCTGGCAATCGTTTTCAATGACGACCGCCGGTCAAATCGGTCAAATGTTACGTTCAACCAATGTCTCACTGTGGAGAGCCTCAAAGCCAGCTAAATCAGCAAAGTCCTGCATCAGCTTCACATAATCATCCTTTGAGAGCTTGATCTTTTCACTACCTTTCACCACAGAGAGCTCTCCCATCTCCGACAAGCGCTCGAAGTCTTTTTCAGGCTGCGGCTCGTATCGTAAGGTGTACTGGTCTTCGCCGATCCAGAATTCGGTGATGCCCTGGAACTGCGCGTGGAAAGGTTGCTTTGGAGGCACCATACCGATGTCCGTGGTCATCAGAGCCCGGTCGAAGAACAGATCGTAAGGGTCGGTGTCGGTGTCACTGTCCTCGAAAAGCTTGCCGGTCACAATGACGGAGCTGGTCATCAAATATCGGAAACCTTGTTCATCCATGGCCCAAGGGTAAGGGACGTCACTATTGCCCACGGGCGAGACATACTTTGTGATGGGGGATTTTGCTGTAAAGGAGAACACATTCTCTCCAACAAACACATACTTCAAACCCTCCAAGTGCAGCAACAGGGAATTTCCATCAAAGCGAGCACCGTGCTTGGGACTCTGACCGACAAAAACGCTCTCTGCAGAAAAGGAGACACAAGGCTCCTCTTCATATTTTGGCACTTCCTCATCCTCAGCGTCCTCCTCAGCGTCCTCCTCTTCTTCTCCTTCAGCTTCAGGGGCCATCTGCACAAGCAGCGGTCCTTCAGCTCCAAGCTCTCTCTGAAGCTCCCCAGCCGTGATCACTCGACACTGAACACCAGAGCCAGGTGGCCCACCGTCCCCCTCCCCGTCCTCGTCATCCTCGTCATCCTCGTCGATGGCCTTAAAGACCTGAACCGCCTTTGGAGCACCGGGCGGATCACCCTGGACTGTGATCTTGAAGGGGCGACCACCGTTGTCATGAACCAGGTAAGTAGCCTTGGAAGGGCCATCTGCACCTGACCCAAGGATCTGGGGAGTCGCCATTAAGAGATTGTGAATGGAAAATCCCAATCTAAAAAGATAAGTCCCTTGGATACACCCGTGACTTAGGATTTGGAATGGATCTTTTCCGATTGAAATGGATAAGTCACATATACCCCCCATGACTTAGGAAACCTCCAGATCTTCAAAAATTGAAACCCCCAATTGCAGCTTTGGTGCTCACAGCAGCTCTCTTCTTGGCAGGTTCCTCCGCATCGTCCGCCGGCCGCTTCATGGCTGTTGCCGGATCCAAAGAAATCGATAATTCTATACATAATGGCATGACATGAAATGAAACAGGGAACATTATGAAATAGTATGGATCACACATTATGAAACATTATGATGATTATTCTAAATCAATGGCATGATGAAACATGATGATGTATGCATTGCCAATCTTAGATACCCTGCAAAAAATGACAAATTCTTTGCTGGGGTTTCACGTGGATATTCTCAATGATAGCATATAAGACTAGTTAGGATTAGTATATTGGATTATAAGCTACTAAGTGGATGATACCCCAGTCCTATATGGAATATCCCTACTTAAATATGGGGAGCAAGTCCATATCTTGACATGTTGCTACTGCCCATCAGATTTCGGAGCCCGAAATTTGCTTGGTGGTCGGAGCGGTCGGAGCACCGTCGCGCGCCAGCCGGCGATGTCCATTCAGATATTGGTACTTGGTGGTTCACCCCCACGGCTCGTAAGTAGGTGAAAAACCCCTGGTTATAACTAGGCTAAGTAGGGGCAAGGTTCACTTAGTTCACTGGGGTTATAATCCACTTACGATTCCTGGAATGAACCACCAAGTAATATACCATCCCCTATTTTTGTTATGTCCGATAATCATTAACCTGTAACCCATATATATATAACATATAACATATATAATATAATCATATGGAATCCATATTTATAGCCTATTATAACTTACAGACACTTACCGATAACTTATTATATATAGTCTATCATCAACCTACGGGCCTCCTTTCCTGCGCCAACATCCGCGGATGATCAGCCTTGGGCCAACTGACGGCGATAAACATTAGAGAGAGTGGTGAACATTTCATGATAATTCGTATGGATTAATATCTGGTTGGTGGTTTCAACCCCTCTGAAAAATATATAAGTCAGTTGGGGTTATTATTCCCAATATATGGAAAAAAATAATCCAAATGTTCCAAACCACCAGCCAGATATGGATTGATTAATATGGATTAATAGATCTAATCTAAGTATTAAGTGGAATAGTTGGGGATTCATGGATGGTTTGTGTGTGTGGTTCATTAATGGAACATGGGGATTGAGGGGGATTAATGGATCATTGCACATGGCTTTTGTAAGTGGAATAACCTGTGATTTATGGGGCTTTCATGGATGACATAAAAGTTATATTTAATGTTTGTCTTTTTTTTTAGAACATGATATATATATATATATCTATAGAATGGATCAATGAGTATAATGACATAAATGGAGTTTAAATGGAGTTTGTATGATGTTCAATTTCTTGTGATTCATCAACAATATGATGATTGGGTGATATACCCTCTGGCAATTGTTCACAGGTTGCTTTGGAAAAGCACCATTCCTGTAGTAAGTCATCAAACTAAATGGAATATAGTTTCAATAGCTATGTTAAATTACCAATGGTAGCGGAAAACAATGATGAATTGTTGACGAATAGTCACTTGGTTAACTAGGGTCTATTGGGGAAATATGTCGGATATAACTACGTATAAGTTAACTATTCTGAATGAGGTTTGTAAACCAATGAATGGGTATAGATATAGATCCCAAAGGCTCTTGGGTACTTCCAATACAGATATCGGATACCTGCAATGCATATATATATATATATGCTACCCCCCCTGAAACCTACCGGTTTTGATTTCTTATTGTCTTTTACAGTGTTTTTTGTTTGTTTTTGCCTTCAAAAGCAACCCACATTCTTTCATTGATTTGAAGACTTTGGATGCTTGAGTGTGATGACTTCTGATGCTTCATGTGTAGATACAATGACATATTCTGATGGTATTTGCAGCATTTTCGACTACCGTATTGGGTTCCCAACAAGGACTTTCAATTCAAACATTGACAGAATGCTCACGGCGCTGTGGCCAAATGTCAATTTTAAGCTTTACATTGTTTTTTACAATGTTTTTGTTCCTTCTTGTGACACATGAATTTTGGATTTTGTACACCTTCGGATCTTGCAAACATATTATTTGATGATCAATATTGTAGATATGTCTTTGGCCTTTTTTCCCTTACTATTGTAGCTTCCGTCTCTTGTTGTGCTACTACAGTGGCTCAATACTTTGGATGTGTGGGTCTTAGGAGGTCCTAGGACCTCTTAGTTCTTACCCCTTCCAAACTATGTTTTAAGTATAATTTACGTACCTCCTAGTTCCTCCACCTCTCTGCAAAGTTTCCTTTAAGTAGTGATTCAACCCACGGTCTTCTCCCAGAATCTGAAAAAGGCAGTGAAAACACTGAAAATGACTACAGGAGACAATCAAACATGCATCCTTCTCTTGAAGAACCAATTCTAATCGACAAGAGCAGGCTTTACAAACAGACACTTTCATTCAAAGGGTGTAGCATTCCTTAAGCAAAAAGAGTATTCCTTCTCAATAGGTAGCATTCCTTTGCAAAAAAAAAAACACTTCTCTTGAACATATATCTCTTCATTTCGATCAGGTAGTGTTTTTTTCCAACATGTAAATATGCATTCCCTAATTCACAGACCCATTTCATAACGTACTAGGTACAATACTTCTGGAAGGAAGAAACACGTTGCACAAAAGTCCCTGCAACATACAGGGCATCTTTCAATCAAATGCAGTCTCTCTTCAAATAAAATAAGACTATCTTCAGACATGTAGCCATTATTTTGAAGAACATACATGTTTTTCTCTAAGTGACACTATACTTTTTGAAAAACCAGTTAGATGTTGAAAAGAGAATGCTGCGCATGTGGCACAAGTACTGCTACATTGTGCTTTCTAGAGTCAGTATACACTCAATTTTTAACAGAAAAATGTGTATACTTGAAATGAACAAATGTGAGCTGTCTTTGATTAAACAAGAAAAACACAAATGAGACCTCTGTGAGATTGACAATGCCCCTCCTGAAGAAGAGTGACTTGAAAGGGCACGAAATTACTTCAACAAGAAAACTCTCTTAGTCTATGCAGTATTCACTGGAAACGATAATAAATTTCGAAAAAAAAAGTTGTAGTGTAGCATTACCTTTTTTGCAATGTTCCTTGACATGGAGGGGCATTCCTTGGAGAAAATGCAACGTTGCTCTGGCACAGTGTGCTCATTGAGTTTTCAGGTTTGGGGAAAAGACCCAAAGTGGAAACTTTTTCATGGTAGTTGAATCACTCCCATCCACTTAAGGAAACCCAAGATGGATGCATTTCCAGAGGAATGCGTTCAGAATGCATGTTTCCCCCAATCTAAGATCTAAGATTTGTTCAGGAGTCCTGATGGAATCTTAGACCTTAGATCTTAGATGTTGGTCAGGAACATATAACAATTTGCTCAGGAGTGCTGGGGAATCTTAGATCTTAGATTTTGGTTAGGAAAGTCTACGATTTGTTCAGGAGTCCTGGGAGAATCTTAGACCTTAGATTTAGCAAGGAATGCATTCTGAATGCTATCATTGAAGTTAAGTTAAATCAGCCTAAATTGCTTACTAAGCAGTTACTAAACTACTATATATACATATATAATAGCACCTCTTGAAACTATTGCAGAAAAATCCTCAAAATAGGCCTGCATGTATGGTAACACCCTTCTGACCCAGCCATGTGATGAATATGTAAAAAAGGTAGGTTTCAGGGGGGGTACCATATATACATCCATATATATAATTATATATATAAATATATGTATATATATATAATTATATATATATAGAATTATATATATATAGTCCACTGACGCAAAAATCATGGGACTTATCCCACTCTTAAAACCGTTGTTTTCACAATGTCCAATAGTTGGATGCTGCATGTCCTAGCCTTGCATCGCCAATCCCAATCGTAAGTGGGCAACCGCAATGTCTTACACCCGGCATATCCCCTATTCCAAATGGGATATAGATATATACTGAAATATACTGTAGTATATATATAAATAAGTGTATATATATATATTATAAACATGTGTGTCTGATTATATATATATATACTTATTTACACACATGGTGTGCATATATATATAGATAATATTACATATACGCAGCTCATTGCCCAGCAAATTCACTGGGGTGCACATCGTTTCGCCGAGTCGCCACCAAGGCCTCTCGTCTCTGCTTCATGCAATGGGAGACGGCCTACTGTACGCGGAGGTCGGAATCGCCCAATTTTATTCGGGGGTGAGGGATGGACAGTTCTCATGGAGTTATCACAAAGTTAGAAGTTAGAAGTTAGTTCTAACTATACAAGACATTAGACTACATACTATCTGGTTGGTGGTTTTAACCATCTTGAAAAAAAATAGTCAATGGGAAGGGTGACATCCCATATATGAAATGGAAAATCAAAAATGTTTGAAACCACCAACCAGCTATAGAAATATTAAAAGTTATGTATATGGACTATTGTACTAGTTCTCATGAAGCTATTAGATAGTTAGCATATGTTAGTGGATAGTCAAAAGTTATTGAATAGACAGTTACTATAAGTATTTGTTATTATCAGCATACCATGATACTATCTCATTGAGTTATCATAATGGGAGAATATAATGTTCTTTGTGTCAAAGCCAGTAAGAGGTCATGTGCGTGTTGATATTTTGGGGGTGGGAGGGTAGGTGGGTGGGGTAATAATGTGCTTTTCGACTACTACTACATGGTACGTTCTCTTGCACTTCCACACATACGTCATGCTAGGCTGCTAGAATTTCTCTTGCACTTCCACACATACGTCATGCTACGCTGCTGGACGTTCTCTTGCACTCGGACAACTTTGTGCTTGAGGCAAAAAAACACTCTTCCACGAAGCTTTCAGGACACAAAATTACAGTTGTGTTGTCGTAAAACACAAAGTTTTCCAATTTTGAGGCGACCCTTCCATGGGATTGTAACCACAAAATTACTGAAGAAAAATAAACATGTCGCTACAGTTTCGGACATTTCCACCATCATCCTGTGATGACGTCTGTTAAGTCATCACCGACACGACCTTTTTGAAAAAGGTGTTTTTCAACCATGTTATTGGAGAAGTTAGTAT